CGCGCGCGCTGCGCGGGTCGCGCACGCGTCCCTGCGCTTGCAGGTGGGTTGCTGGGGTTGCTGCCCCAGTGCTGCAAGGGCGGCCTTGTGCCGTGCAATCAGCGCGCCAGCTGCGTCGAGGCCTTGTGTTGTACCCATTTTTTGGTCTGGGAGCAGCAAGGTTGGAATATTCTTGCACAGCTGACCGGCCTGGCTATTTGCTGCGCCTGTACAGGAGGCTACCCGTTACACTCAATAGTACCCTGTGTGGCCCCAAGTCGGCAGCATAAAGCTGTTCTGTATGCCGGGCTGGAAGGGATGGGCAAGCAGCTTTGAGGGTAAATGCGGCATGACCTATCCGTGAAAGTGCCCGCCGTGCTGCCGGCGAGGCCTGGCAGCGACGAGCGCGGAGCATATGCTTGATTGGCTACACGTAGATAGATTCTGTCGTGTAGCACAGCCGGCGAGCCGCGCTGTTCTGCCTGCGCTCGACCCGCCCTGGATAAACCGTAAGGAGTGCCTGTGACGCAGGCGCTCGCGCGGAAGCTGCCGCTGGCGTTGATGGCATGGTGTGAGTCAGGTGCTCGTGGCGGTTACAAGCCATGTGGGTCATTGTGCACAGAGTAAGCACGCGCCTTATTCTTGACACGCACCTTCGTCGTTCTCGGTGGTGATCTCGTTGTCCAGCCTTCCCTTTGTCGTCTCAGGCCTCACTCATCTGCAGCGGAGGTGCTCGACAGCAGCCATGGCGGAGATCAGCCCCCAGGAGCTGCGCTTCCGCTGTAAGCCTTTGGTTCAACCCGTGAGGAGGGGGTGGCAGTGTGTGTGCAGCAACTTACCTGTTCATTCGGCCTGGCCCCCCTCGCAGTCCAAATCAACAAGCAGCTGCCAGCATCTATCTCCATACACAATCCCACGGGCGATCGGCTGGCCTTCAAGGTGCGTTGCGCTCGCTGTCAGCCCTGTGCCGCGGAATAAGCAGCTTCGGCCGCAGCTGGACGCTTGAGTCGCCATGCTAGCTTTGAGCCGCGTGGATCTGGTGTGGCAAGCAGCCATGTGGGGCGGGCGCGCCCAAATGAGCGTGGGCACCGTGCGCAGCGGCTTCGCACCTGGCGTGACAGAGAGTGAGGTGCTTGGCAAGCGGCTGCAGCGATCTGTGAACCCAGGTGTAGTCGTTTGTGGCTCGGCGGCAGAGGCCGGAGGTGCAAGCGGCGCCTGCCGTCCCCGCGACTCTCTGCAGGTCAAGACCACCACCCCCAAAAAATATGTCGTCCGTCCCAGCGCGGTGAGTTGCTCGAGCCGGCGCAGACAGCATGCTCCTGGGCACCCTCCATGGAACGCGGCCGCGCGGCGCAGCAGCCCTCTCGGGGCTGCCATGCGCTACCCCCAGGTCGCCGCATGGCGAGCCTGCCGCGTCGCATGGCTGACGCACCGGCGCCCTGACGCCACGCGCACGCATCGCCTCCCCACAGGGCGTGGTGGAACCGAGGACCAGCGCCAACGTGCAGGTTATCATGCAGGTGGGCTTGACGCGCCGGCATCAGCGCCGCGCGCCGCCCGCGCCCACTGCGCCCGCCACCCCGAGACGCAGACGCAAGTTGCGCACCTTGCGCGTGCCGCGCCATCGCGCTGCTGTCTTTCAGGCCCAGAAGGAGTACCCAGCGGACATGGCCCACTGCAAGGACAAATTCCTGGTGCAGACGGAGGTGCTGCCCGCGGGAGAGGTGCGCTGCTCGGCGGCTGCCGGCGCGGCCCCGCTTTTCAGCGCGCTTTTGGGTGTGAGGCGGTGGGGCTGCGCGCGCACAAAGCGTTGGCAGCAGGGGAGTAGTTGGCGGTGGGCAGCAGCGGGCAGGGACGGCGTTTTGAGAAGCTGCCGCGCCGGAGTAGTGGAGGTTGACTCAGGAGGCGGAGGAAGGCGGCCTCTGACAGCAGGGGCTAGGGAGGCGGAACCAGCGGCGGCCGCAGCGACGCCTCAGTCAGCCGTGTCTTGGCGCACGCGCGAATAATGGCAGAAAGCGCAGCGGGCCGCGCGGCGTCATCAACCGCAACCAGGCCGAGCAGCGAGTGCATCCGCCGCCGGAGCAGCAGTGGTGGGCTGCCATGGCTCCACTCACCCGAAACACACGCGTTGATGGACGCTGCAGCAGACTGATGTGCGCACATCCGCAAAAGAGCAACGGCACACTGCTGCCACCCCCCCATTTTTGTTGTCACAGGAGATTGGCCCCGACACATTCAAGAAGAGCGAGGTGAGCTGATAGGGGTTGCCTCGCCGCGTCAAGCAGGCGCATACCGCTTGCCTGCCCTGCTCAGGGCGCCCCTGATGGCACCAGCACCTGCAGCTCGGGTGCTTGGGTTCCAGTCGAGGCCTGATCGCCTAGCTCGCGGCCCTCCCAGTCTAAACAACATCGCCCTGCCTGCTGACACCTGTTGATGGCTACCCCCAGGGCACGAAGCTGCGGGTCATAATCGAGGGGCCGCCGGCGCCGCCATCCCCGGTGAGGCAGCGTGCTTGTGCAGCTGGGCTGGGGCCCGTGGATGCTTGCCGTCGTGCTCTTGCTGAAGCGCGCTGCTGGCGGTGTGCCTGCACGCAGCGGCCCGCCGGCAGCTTTTGGCCCGGCCTACGGCCTCACGCCCTTGCCTGACAGCGCAGCAATGCGGTCTGATCTGATCTGAGATAATCTGATCTGAATTTGCAGGTGCCCGAGGTCAACGAGACCGAGGATGAGAAGTCGGAAAAGGTGGGGCACGCTGGCGGCGGAGAGGCCAGCACAGAACGGGTCCGGCCGGCATGAAGTTGGCAGATGAGGGGGTCGAGGATTTGAAGGGACTGCCTCAGCAGGGTCTGGGAGGGGAGCAAGGTTGGCGAGAAGCGTGTCGCGCGCTGGAAAGCCGATATATCATCCCCTGCGCGCCCACCCCCGCGCGCGCAGCTGGAGAGCATCCTGCCGCCCGTCGCGGCGGCGGCGCCGGCGGCGCCCGTCGCGGCGGCGCCCGTGGCGGCGGCGGCGGCGCCGACGGTGGTGCGCAGCCGGGTGGCAGCCGCGGCGCCGGCGGTGGAGGAGCCCGGGAACCTGACTGTGGAGAACCGGGCGCTGCGGAGGCAGCTTGAGCAGGTGGGGTTGTTGTGCAGACATTCGTGTGCTGTCTGCTGGTGCTGTGTGGCGTGTGTCTCTCACGTGGGCGAGGTCGGCGCGTAAGTGGGGCCCACTGACGCGCCGACCGCTTGAATAATGCCTCACGCAAATGTGTGAATGTGTGCACGGATGGGACTTTCTGTGCGTGTGCGCACACATGCAAATGCACGCACGGGTCATCATTTACTCTCATCTGCGCGCCCAAGCCCGGCATCTGCACAACGGAGCAACATGCACACCTTAGCAGGCCCGCCAAAGCCTCTCTTGCTAGTGGGCCGCTTGCACTGCTTCAGCTCGGGCGTCCAGGGTGGGGCGTGGCGCCCGCGGCACAGCCTCAGAGCGCAGCCCTCGCCCCCCTGCCAAGGCGGCGTTGAGCATTCAGAAGACGCCGCTCCTATTTCAGATGTGGGGCCTGTTTGCAAACCCACGCCGCAGATTCGCGACGAGCGGGACCAGCTCAAGCGGCGGCTGGACACGCTGTCGCGCGGTGGCGGCACTGCCACCAAGGTGCGGGCGCGGCGAGGAGGGATGGGAAGGGGAGGGGGGCGGGGGCGTGCGCGGCGGCACCGGCGCCTGTCGGCGAGTTGCTGGGGCACGGTGTTGAGTGTCGCCATCACAGGCCCGCGGCACGCAGCGTGCGATGACCAGCACGCTGGCAGTGCCACGCACACTGCACATCACGTGTAGACGCGCGTGCACACACGCTCTTGAATCTACACACACTCACACTCACACACACACAGGCATCATCCCCCCTGCCGCTGCTGGCGACCATTCTGGCGGCAATCCTGGCGTTCCTGGTGGTGCGTGGCCGGGCCCAGGGCGCGGTGCAGGGCTCATGCGCGCCCATGCGTGCAGCACATGGGCCTTTGGGGGCAAAGCGGGGGAGAGCTTGGGGTCATAATGGCCCCTGGTTTCCGTGAGAAGCTGTGAGGAGAGAGCAGCTGCGTCGCAGGTTGGGGCTGGAGCTTGGCGATCCGTCAATGATCAAAGCTTTGCTTTGCTGGCTGTCGTTTGATTCGAATGCACAGGGCCACTACCTCAAAGACCTCCAGAAGATCGCCGGGCTGGCGTGATCCGAGATCTGGGAGATCTTGGAGACCGCCTGCAGCGCCCCGCGCCGCCGCCGGCGCGTGTGGCGGGGCGCGGATCAGGCGCGCGGCGGTGGCGGGCTGCTTCCTGTCGCGGCATGGGCGCGGCGCGGCGCGGGTCGCGCGGAGTCGGCGCCGCTTGTGACCAAGATCCTGCGGCGACCGGCGCGCCGACTTTTGGGTCAGCGCTCTATGCCGCCGCCGGCAAAAGTACATTTCTTTCCCGGGCCAGGCTGCGCATCGGCCGGCTCTCTTGACACGCAAAGGAGCCCGTGCCTGGGCTTCCGCTATCGGGGGTAGAGGGGTTTGGTTGCAGTCACCGCCTGCACACGGGCAGCGATGCGCCGCGTGGGTTCCTGCCTGCGGCGCCGAGCTCTGTGCTGCAAGCTTTTTTGTGGAAGATGACCCTTTGTTTTTCGCTCGTTCTGCAACTGTGTAAGTGCAGCAGTCCCTTTGGTTGCGAGACCCCTGGTCTGGCCCAGTGGCCTTTGGTGTGTGGTGGTTGTCCGCACTTGCGCGGCAGGTCTGCAGTTGCCGAGCGCACCGCTTTGTCAGCTGAGGGGCAGCACGGGCGCTGTGCCAGCGCTCCATGGGAGGACGGCGCCATACGTGGGAAGCGCCACTCGAGTGCTGTCGACAGGCGGAGGGTTTCTGCCATCAGCAGGCGCGAGCTCATGGCACTCAACGGGAAGGCGGCGTGGTGGCGCGCGCGCTGCGCATGGCTGATGCGCACAGCGTGCCCTGCCGCAGTAACGGCTCGTGGTGGCTGGTAATATCGGGGCGACGCCGCAATGGGCAATGACGTGCCCCGAGGATGCGTCCTCAAGGGCCGTGACTGCCAGGCGCGGAACCTTGACCCCCACGTACCAGCGGGGCAGGGCGCCTGACAGAAGAGAAGAGGGGGCGCTCGCCGGACTCGCGATTCGGCTGCAGAGGAGGCCGCCAGGTTCTAGATGGGGCTGCTATGGAGCGCTGCGAGTGCTGCGGGCGCGCCTTATCTCGGCTCATCGTGTAAGCGTGAAGCTGCCATCATGCTGACTGACGCGAGTTCCGTGGTGGGGCGACAACTCTGCCCTTGCGCCGTGCTCACACGCGGAGCGCTGCTCGGCACGCGCGTGCCGAGCAGCGCTTTGCAGACTGGAGGTGCATACAAGCAGCAACACCCATCAACATACGTGGGGCTCGGGCGGTCGCCTGGAAAGTGGAAGAGCGGCGGCCGCGGCGAAGCCCGGCCGCTGTTCTCAAGGTTGGGCGGGAGGCTTGGCAAGCAGTGCGGATGCATCTGCCCTGCCTGCCAGGGGGCACCACGCATGGGTCGCATTTGCCTTGCGCATACCATTACGCAGGCGTTGCCCAGCCAGGTTTGACCATTCCGTTGACCAGTCGCAATTGGGCTACTAGCTTGCTTTGAGGGCGATAGGTGTCCCTTCCCTGCGCCGAGATACCCTGTGCCCTGCTCAACATGGTATGTTTGCCTATCGCAGTTCCTGTGCGGGGCAACAGCAGCCTGACTAGAGGCGAGCATGGAACCCGGTGCCCTGCGATCTTGGTTACTGGCTCGTTGGCTCCGGCGAAATTTTTTCGTTGGTCAGAAGTGGCAGTTGAATCCTTTTGATAATGACGAATCCTGCTTGTATGGGACGTTGCAGGAGTCATGCGCAACACTGCACCCTGCCAACGCCATCGCGGCCAAGTGCAACTGCGGTCAGCACAGCATGCAGTGTGTTGTGGCACAACTTGAGCTGCAGCTGGCACCAATAAATGACGTATTGTATTTGATTGAGGTACCAGCATACTCGCCACGCTTGAAGTAAATGTGCATTGTCAGCCCAACGGTGCCTCCCACGATCCGCGTGGACTCATGGCCCCTGGAGGCCCCGATCTCAGGCCATTTGAGTTGAATTTGAGCTACTCGTATCGCAACTAGCTCCTAAGAGTATCTCGTCTCCTCCGCAAACGGGTCTCAGATCTGCCACGATGCTTGCCAACAAGCAAATGTCCTGCAGCCGGATGGCAGGGCGCACCGCCATCTTTTCGGCGCGTCCTATTGCCGTGCGGCCCTCCCGCCTAGTGGCGCGGGCTGAGGCGGTCACCGTCGGTGCGTGGGTGCAGTCAGTCGATTGCCTGTGGCCCACGGGCCCCATGGCGTGCCTCAAAGCTGGTACATTTGCATCAATTGACCTAGTGGTCTTCTTGCCGCGCAGCTGGGGACGTTAACGACACCACTTTCGACGAGGTGGTGCTTCAGAGCAAGCAACCCGTGCTGGTCGACTTCTGGGCGCCCTGGTGCGGCCCTTGCCGCATGATCGCGCCTCTGGTCGACGAGCTGGCGGCGGAGTACAGCGGCAAGGTCACGTGCGTGAGTGGCGCGTTGGCGCATCGCGCGTGTGGTGTACGGTTTGGAGCTAAGGGGCCAAGGTGCCCCCCCGGTCAGTTCATGCAATCCTGGCCGACCCAGGCCGATTCGCAGCAGCATGTAGGCGTCGAAACAGTTCGCAGATGCGCTTCGACACGCCGCTAGCGCCACTCGCGGCCTGACAGCGGGTGGCGTCGGTTTGGTGCAACCCACGTGCCGTGTTGGCACGCACAGCCAGCACTGTGGCAGCCGCTAGCGCCGGCGCGTCGGCGCCTGCACTGGGACTGGCGCGCAGCAGCGCGAGGCGCTGTGCGCCACCCGTGCCAGAGCGCCGGTGTCGCCGGTTCATAAGTTGGCCGTGCTGTTTGCAGGCACGACACTTTCCACCTCTTCTTGCCCCGTTTGAAAGCCTCTACCTACATGCACACACATCTACACACAAACACACACACACACCCTCTCGCAGGTGAAGATCAACACTGACGAGTCGCCCCAGACTGCCAGCGAGTACGGCGTCCGCAGCATCCCCACCGTCATGGTGCGTGCATCCGCGCCCCATGGAGGACATTGCAGGGGCAATAGAGGGGCGGTACGGCCTGCCTGATGCAGGAGCCGCAATGCGCCGGCTAGCATCATTAAGGAGCTGGATGCCCGGGGACGAGGGAGATTATCGCCCCTTCAAGCGTCGTCGAGTCCCGACTTTGGGCCGCACGGTCGGCCCACAGGCGAGGCTTCCGGAAGGCCGGCAGGCTGCCCCGCCGTGGCTGGCGGCACGCCGCGTCCCCGCACCATCAGGAACCGCCACCGCGTCGCGTCTTGCCTGCCCCGCAGGTGTTCAAGAACGGCCAGAAGATGGAGACCATCATCGGCGCCGTGCCCAAGACCACCCTGGTCAAGGCCATTGAGAAGGTGACAGGGGCAAGAATCAGCAGGGGAGGACGGTGATTGTAATGGCCTGCGACGAAGAGGGGGAGGGGCCGCCCGTTTGTGGGAGTCTGGAGCATGCGATGGAATGCAAGCAGTTTGGCTGGGGATCTCGGAGGGGGCGGACGTGCAATGGGTGGGCTGCGGGCGCCTTCGCAAGAAGAGGGGCTTCGGAGTTCAGGGAGACGCCTCGCCTGCGAGGGCGCGGCCCGCGGGTACGCGGCGCGGCGAGGTGCATGCAATTCAAGGCGTGTCGGCTCTCACTCGGCGCCCATCCGCCTCCTCCGCCCGGCCCCCCGCCCCCGCCCGCCAACTCCAACCCCAGTTCTTGTGAGCAGGAGGCGCCGCCCCCTCCATTTTTGACGGACGCCGCGCGGGCGCCGCCCTCGCGGGCCGCGGCTGGCGCGGCCACCCAACACCTGTCACACAACTGTACGCGGCGCGCCGGCGCAGCCGATAAGGGCACCAAATTTTGCGGGGCTCGCGGCGGCGGCGGCAGCCGCGGGCGTCCACCCGTATTTCTGGCCTGCTTTGCAGCATGACTGTACACACCCGAGAGGCCCCGCCAAAGCAGTACAGCGGGGCAATACAAGAGAGATGGGAAAGAGGCTGGTTTGGACGGGCAGGTCGCGAGCGGGCGGCCCGCCGCATTCGCGTTGGCGCCTGTGGCGGCCCCACCGTCCACTGATCGCCCCTCTGGTCCTGCTATGCCTCTGACATGGTAATTCTTTGTGGGAATCGCCGTCTCGCCCCGGGTGCTCGCTGGGGTCAGCAAAAATGCAGACAAGGCGGCGGCCGCACTTTTGCGGTGGCACACGGAAGCATTTCAGCAGGCGGCGCGCCGCAGCTGGCGGCGGTTTGCAAGTTGTGGGTGCTGCATTTTGGAAGACCAAGACGGCGGAGGAAGAGCAGGAGATACATACATACAGTACATAGGCATGTGGCAATCCAGGCCAGCACTCCGCACTCGTGCATCAACTGTTGTCACTGCTGCTTCCTGTGGCACCTGCATTTGCCTCTTGAAGGTGAGACCTAGGGAGGTGCTTAGCAATCGCCTCAACCGTCTATCTGCTTCTGATCAACAGCTTTCCCGGCGCCATTCACATCAAGATCAAGTGCCTCGCGGTGCCAGATCCGCACAACTTCACACATCGCTTTCTAGTGCCTGACCAGGCGAGTATAGCAGCAGTAACAGTCTCCAGGCGGCGAAGTCCCGTCTGGCAACTCGGGCGAACAGGAGGACGGCGCTGTCGTAGGCCGCTGGCAGCACACCGTGGTGTGCGCGCCGGCGACACACCAGGGCGGACAAAGCGCCCGCGCCGGCAGTGGCCGTCTCGGCTCTGGCTTAGGCTGCCATGTCGGCGCTCGGCGTGACGATCAAGCCGACCAACTTGCTGAGGGGCTTCTACTTCGCCGCCGGCCTCGCCGCCGCGGCGGGCGCGTGCACGGCGACGCGCGGCGCGTTATGGGGCGGCGCCACGACCGTCGCGCGCGCACACGGCACGCTACCGCCGCCGGCGCCCAAGGGGGCGGGCCAGGAGGAGCGGTTGTTCGGCGCCGAGTTCCGGGCGTGGGCGGCGGGCAAGTGGAACAGCGCGGTGGACGCGACCCTCGGAGGGCTCGCCAAATTCTTGGCTGACCGTGGGCTGTGAGGCGCCGCTTCTGATTCATCCCGTTTGGGGGACCCGCCCTCACCTCGTGCAGGCAGGACATGAACAGTTTCAGCCCGAGCCGTAACCTGCCGCGGTGGCAAGGCTTTTTTGGCCTTGCAGCACTGGCCGCGTGCGGTTGCTGCGGCGCAAACTGTTGACCACCTGGTTGCCCTTCTTCCTCGTTGGCCCAGCGTGAGGGCGCCTTCCGCGCCGCCTGACGCTGCTCCACCCGGACATTGTCGCATACGTCAAGCCGCGTTTCATTCTCAATGCATCGCCCCCATTTCGTCCCCTGGCTTGAGAGCGTAGCCTCCTTGACGTGTCGGAACGTGAGTAATCGCTGTCACCAAACCCAAGCACCCAGCGTCACCGCAGCCGCCGCAGCAGCACACCCAATCAGCGGCCGTCGCAAAGCAAGGCGGGCCCCATGCACGAATCAGAGGCTGGGGGTGCACGGTGAAGTGCAGCGGGCGCACTGTGGGCGTGGGCGTCCCGCGCGACAGGGGACCGACACCCCTGGCAACGCGGGACGTCTTACTTTCCTGGGTCTGGGAGGGAGATGCAGCTCAATGTGATGGGTGCCAGCACCCCGTCTGCAACCCTGGGACCCCTTGATGAGTGCCCCTTACCCCTGCAGCAAGCTGCTGAGCAAACCAGCGCAAGCGATGAAGGCGCGCCACGGCAGCGGCCCAGAGCACATCGGTGCCGCGTGCCACCGATGGGCCGAATCGACCAGCAGCAAAAGCAATTACAGCGCCACGCAAGAGTTACGAGGCCACGCCGCATGTTTCTTGTTTCAAAGCTCGGCTCGTCCCCAAAGAGCGCGCACGCCCTCACCGCCCCGCGCCCCCCACCCAGCCG